AACAAAAGCACAAGCACCAACACACACAAACACATAAGCAAACACAAGCACAAGCACAAGCACAAACACAATCACAAACACATGCACGAACACAAACACAAGCATACTCACACACAAGCACAAACACAAACACAGGCACACGCACAAACACAAACACAAACACAAGCACAAGCACAAACACAGCCACAAACACAACCACAAATAAGAACACAAACAGAAGCACAAGCACAAGCACAAGCACAAGCACAACCACCCCGCCCCCGCACCCCACCCACACCCCCACCCCGCCCCCAGACACACTCCCGCCCCCGCCCCCCGCCCCACACGCACCCGCACCAGCACACCCACACCCACACGCACATGCACGGGCACGGGCACGGGCACGCGCACGGGCCCACGCCCACGCCCACGCCAACGCCCACGCCCACGCCCACCCGCACCCCCACGCCCACCCTCACCCCCCCACCCGCACCCACACCCGCACCCGCACCCGCACCCGCACCCGCACCCACCCCCCCACCTCAACCCTCACCCCTTACCCCAACACTTAATTACTCCCTCCCCACCCCCCCCCCATCCCCACCCCCTCCCCCACCCCCACTCCCACCCCCACCACCCCAACCCCCCACCCCCTCACCCCCACCCCCACCCCCATCCCACGAGACCCTGGTCTCACCTTGCCAGGTGGCGACATCCGAACCCTACAGTAGGGGCCCGACCACAGGAAACCTTCCATAAGAAACCCAATCCTGAGACCCCAGGACGTCCATTGGTTTTTGGTGGGCCCAAAGAAACCCAGGGCACCCTGGAGGCAAGCAGGGAGTTTCTTGGCATGGGTCTCCACTGTACCCCCGCCAACCATCGGTTCTCCTGAACCGATTGTGCAGAGGAAGACAGCACGGCATTTACACATAAGCTTGTGGAGCTCCGCGTGGATTTCTTAGATCTGCGCTGGAACCCGCGGCGGCGCCTCCGGCGCCGCCTCTCGCGCCCTCCGCGCGCCAGGGAGGGAGGTCCAGCGCAGATCAAGGAAATCCGCGCGCACCGTCGATAGTTCATATTTCTTCGAGCCCCCGCCAACCATCGATTGTCCTCAGTCGATGTGGGGCGGGGGTGGGATTCGGATTTCGCCGCGCGTTCGACGAACTCCGGACCCCACTCCTGCCGCCCGTTGAGCTGCCCGTGTCGTTGATCGGCGAGGGCAGGGTCAGGTCGGGCATTCCCCCTACAGGCCGATTTCCGACGAAGGAAAAACTCAAACAATACCCTAAAACTGTCCACAAATATTCAAAAATCGTCCCCTGACTATTTTTTGACTATGTTTGAACATTCCTCCTGTAGAGGGACAGGCCCGACCGAAGGGCAGGGCTCGCCTTGTGCCCCCGACCCGCGCTTCGCTGTGAGCGCCAGGAGGGGCGCCACCCCCGCGGACGACCCTCGAGCCGATCCCCGCCGCGGACAGGCATCGCGCGCCCAGGGCCGCGCAGCGGACCAACGAGCCCGGGTCGATCCCCGTCGGGGTGCGCTTGGCGGCGCGCACAAGGGGGTGGAGGGAGGGGGAGGGCTTCGTAGAAGGAGGCTGCTTCTTAGAAGGCGCCGGCCTTACATTTCTAGACAAGGCCCGCGCCTTCTAAGAAGCAGGGGTGCTTCTAAGAAGCCCTCCCCCCTCCCCTCACCCCCCTCCGCGCGTGGTTGATGCACCCCGTCGGGGGCCGTGGCCGGGCGCAGGAAGCTTTACCCAAACATCCGACGACACGGCTCTTCTGGTGCGCGGTCCCGAGAGATCCGGGCCACCTCCCCGTGGGGGCGACTGCTCGGCCTGGGTCCGTTTCGGGGCCCGACAACGGGCCATGGGTCATTGCACCGGCCTTGCAGTTGTGCTGCAGCGGATTTCTGCGTGGATTTTTGCCCGAAGCGGCGAGCGAAAAACGACATGAACTTCGCGTGGCTTCTTTGTGATCTTCATTCCCGGCCAAACAAAACCCGCACGAAATTCACCTCGAAATCCCGAACGAAATTCTCCAGGACACTCCAGGCCCACCCTGTCGTTTTCCGAACGAAATCCGCTCTGCGATGTTGGCGCCATGACATGGGGGGCCGAGGTTGAGGAGAAACGCACGGTTTGAAGCAGATGCCCTAGCAAAGCACCCCAATAGCCGTCAAGTTACAGGGGCGGGTCGAGGAGTAGGAGAGGTCGGCCGTAGGGGGTGGGGACAGAAGCACGGCCGTGTGCACATAAGCGTATTTGTTGCCAAAAGATCGGGGCCGTCTGGACCAAACATGTAGCCCTCTTGGATGACTTGCGAAGAAGTCTTGAGCGAAGCGCCTGCCGAACGGACCAGGCGACCCCAGGGGGCGGTCCTGGGCCCCTCCGTGACCACTGGTGGGACTTGTCTCTATGCTTAACTCTTCGAGCGAGACGCTGTTCGAGAACAGATCGTCGCTAGAAGCCTCCTAGATGGGGTCGGAGTAGATGGAGTCGGAGGATCGCGCCGCATCGCCGATACATCGGCGATGCATCGGCGATGCACCGGCGATGCACCAGCGATGCGTCGTCGACGTGGGCGATGCATCGGCGACGTCGACGTGAAGCAAATCGGGCTCCACGTCGAGCCGCATCGGCGATGCATCGGCGATGCGGAGCGGCCCTCCGACCCCACCGGAAGAGGCCTCGAGCCGCAGTTCTGACGGCGGTGACGTGGCCGGCCAGGCGGCGCCCCTGCAGCTCGCTGCCCCGGCCCCCGGTCGGCGCAGCTGTGGCGAGGGCGGCGCCACGGCACGGCCAGGACGACGCCCGTGCCGTCGCCCTCTGTTGGGGCGAGCAGGCCGTGCACGGGGGCAGGGGCGCCGCAAGCGTGGTCGGCGGCAGGGCGGGATGCTGACACAGGTCCTCGTCCTCGATCTCTTCGAGCTCCTCGTGTTCGTCCTCGTCTTCCTCCTCCTCCTCCTCCGTTCCTCCTTCTCCTCCTCCTCCTCCTGCATCCCTTTCCTTGCAAACAACTCCTCCCTGTCACATTCCCACACATGTCGGTGGGGCGGGCTGGGCGTTTCGCCTGAGACTTCCTGATCATTTATGGTCCTGATGCTTGAAACTTGCAGCTGGAGGGCGTGCCGTTTTCAAAATGTGGCTCTGCAGATTCACGGATGGAGGGCGGGTCGTTTTCAAAATGTAGCTCTCGCCTAAGCGCCGCGCACGTTCGTCTTCAAAGTTTGCAAGAGTTTCACGGATGGAGAGCGGTTCCTTGAAACTGTGGCTCTCGCCTAAGCGCCGCGCGCAGTCGTCCTCAACGTTAACGACACATTCAAGGATTCCTCTGGTTGACGTCCGAAGAATAATCCTCTGGCACGATTTAGTATTGTCAGGGCGGAACAGCCGCGTTGATTCGCAGTGTTGAGGTCCTGGGAATTCTGTTCTGCGACGGTTGGGGACTTTCAGACGGTTGTCTTCCAATGGGGCACTTCCTGCAATAAAGCTAATTCTGTGTAGGGACCTATGAAGAAGGAACGTAGAGGCAGGGATTAATGCAACATCGTTGACGCGTCTTGGGTTTACACTGGTCCTTCTCCTCCTCCTTCTCCTCCTCCTCCTCCTTCTCCTCCTCCTCCTCCCTCCCTCCCTCCTCCCTCCTCCCTCCTCCTCCCTCCCTCCCTCCTCCCTCCTCCCTCCCCCCTCCTCCCTCCTCCCTCCTCCCTCCTCCTCGCTCCTCCCTTCTCCTCGCTCCTCGCTCCCCGCCTCTCCCTCCCTTCCCCTCCCCGCCCGTGGCCCCCGCGTGGCCACGCGCGGCGGGCCCCCGCGCGGCCACGCGCGGCGGTGCCGGGCCCGCGCCCGGCGGCGACGGACCGCCGGGGGCCGCTACGCGCCACCCAGGCCGGGCCTGTCGGGGCCGCGCCCGCCGCCGAAGACGACGACGATGACGACGAAGAGGAGAATGATGGTGATGGTGATGATGGTGATGATGCTGATGATGATGATGCTGGTGATGATGATGATGCTGATGATGATGATGGTGATGATGATGATGATGCTGATGATGATGATGATGATGATGCTGCTGATGATGCTGATGACGATGCTGATGCTGATGATGTTGATGATTGCGATGATGAGCTGCTGCTGCTGCTGATGATGATGATGACGATTCTGATGATGATGATGATGATGAGGATGATGATGAGGATGAGGATGATGCTGACGAGGATGATGCTGATTATGACGATGACGACGATGAAGCTGCTGCTGCTGATGTGGATGATGATTCTGCTGCTGATGATGCTGCTGATGCTGCTGCTGCTGCACATGCTGATGCTGATGCTGATGCTGCTGCTGCTGCTGCTTATGATGATGATGTTGATGATGATGCTGATAATAGTAATGATAATAATAATGATAATAATAACAATAATGATGATGATGATGCTGATGCTGATGCTGCTGATGCTGCTGATGATGATGATGATGATGATGATGATGATGATGATGATGATTATGATGCGGCTGTTGCTGCTGCTGCTGCTGCGGATGATGGTAGTGATGAGGAGGATAAGGATGCTGCGGATGAGGAGGAATAATGAGTAGGAGGGAGGAGGTGGAGGAAGATGCCTTCAAATGTTTCTAGAAGCTCACGGAAGCCTCCAGGATTTCCTTGGGCTCCCCGTACCCCCCACCCCCCTCCCTCCCAAAGTACAAAACATCAGCAAACTTGAATCCTCGACCCTTGCCTTGTGAAGGCCCTGGACCCAGACCGCCGACGTCGCGATTTTTTCATAACGTGTACCCCAAAAGGACTGGACTGGACCCCTTCCCGAGGACCTGTATGTCATACTGGGCACTTTTCTGGCGGTCCCAAGGACCAGGGAGGACTCTCGGAGGCCGAAAACAACGAAAACCTACCGTCGCGATTTTTTCACGACTCGAGGGGGTCTGGGGACGACGGCGACGATGGAGACGACGACGACCAGCGGGGCTGCCAGGCGGCTTTACGGCCGTCCGCTGGGGGCGCCTGTGCTGGAGCCAGGCGGCCGCCGCGATGGCGGGCTTGAGCTCCGGGGGCCTGCTGGCGACGACGGCGACCATGACGAGCACGACGGCAACGACGACGAGGGCGACGCAGGCGACCTAAAAACTCCTCGCGTCGTGCAGTAATCGCGACGGTAGGTTTTCGTCGTTTCCGGCCTCTGTGAGCCCTCCCTGGGCCTCGGGACCGTTTTTTTGGTTGTTCCTTTGGGGTCTGCAGTTTTCGGCAACTTTAGCAGCGGGCGGTTTTTGGTAATTTGCAGCCGCCAAGGGCCCTTGCCAGGCCTCCGGACGGAGAGCTGGCCCGTGGGAAGGGGTCCAGACCTCCAGGGTTCCACGGCATTGACAAAATCGCGACGTCGGGGGTGACGATTGAGCAGGGACCAACCGTCCTGGCACTCCTACAGGCCTACCACGGTATGTCCTTTAAACAAGCAGTGTTGTCACAACGGAAGCAATATTTTCTTAGAACGCAGACGTGCTAAAGCAAAACATGATCAGCCAGACATGTTCTAAGAACATGTTGCGGAAACCCCAACAAGTTCTCATACAATTTTCGGGGAGACGTAATACTCGGGTGCGGGGGACTCGGGTTGGCCTGACGGGGCCATCATGAAAATGATGAGACCTTTGACGCGAGCTCTCGCTGCAGACACCCCGCGAAAACTGGACCGTCAAGATTCAGGACGCGCTCGTCAAAAAACTTCGGCAAACCCGAATTCTGGCTTGCTCGAGTCTTACGTTTCGCTTCGCCACTGCTCGAGACGAGGGCGAGGCGAGACCCGGCGAGCGCGGTGCCGCCGGCAGCGGGGCCCCGTGGGGGCCCGCGCGAGGAGGCCAGAGCCCGCAAATTCGTGTCGTCCGTGCCGTGGCATCCCACAGCGGTCGGGCACGACGACGACGCCGACGCCGACGCCGACGCCGTCGCCGTCGCCGTCGCCGACGACGACGACGACTACGACGACGGCGCGCGCCGGCATCGAATACGGTTGCCCTCTGCGGTCGGGAACTTTTTGCTTGAGCGTGTCGCGGCGGCGGCCCCAACAACACGCTGTGCCGTGCAGGCGGATAGCGTGTCGCTCCGCTCCGCGGGGCGGGGGGATCGGAAAGGCTCGGGACGTTAACGTCTGGGGACTGGGGTGTGGATAGCGTGTCGCGCCGTAGCATGGTGGGCCAGAATCGGCGGAGCGACACGCTATCCAAAAATTGCCGACCGTAACAAGTGCCACCTGCAGGTATCGCACGCAAGTGCCATGGGAGGGGGGGGGAGGGGGCCTCCACCCTCCTCCACCCCTCCTCGCTCTTGTCGTCGACTGCCTCCCCCTCCTGCATCGTGGAGGATGGGGATGAGGCCAGCGACCAGGAACAGGAGGGAGGAGAGGGCGGGATGAAGGCACCGATGACGATGACGGCGACTTGGACGACGACGGCGACAGCGGAAACGAAGACGGCGACCGCGACCGTGACCAAGTAGTCGTCGTCGTCGTCGTCGTCGTCGTCGTCGTCGTCGTCGTCGTCGTCGTCGTCGTCGTCGTCGTCGTCGTCGTCGTCGACCTGGCGTGGTCGTGTGGTCGTTGTCCTAGTGCCCGTGGTGGTGGTGGTGGTGGTCGTGGTCGTCGTCGCCGCCGTCTTCGGCTTCCTCCTCCACCTCCACCTCCACCTCCACCCCCTCCTCCTCCTCCTCCTCCTCCTCCTCCTCCTCCTCCTCCTCCCCCCGCTTCTCTTGTACAATTTCACATTCTGACTACTACTCTCCTCTCTCCCCCGAGTCTGTGCGGAAGATGCTCGGCCCTCTCCGCGCATTTCTTTTGATGTCTTTGTTTCCAGCGAGTTCTGTGTTCTGTTTCGTGCTGTACATGTAGAATTTCAAGCTTTGTTTTTTGGGGCCTATCCGTTTTTACAGTCCGATTGTTTTCGGTGCTTCAAAACGGTGCGCTTGCGGCATCGTGGGCCTCATTTTCGGATCGCCGCTATGCCCCCGTCGTTCAGGATGGCGCTGTCGCCTCAGCGCGGGCCACTTTTCTGAACCCGAGTCCTTTTTCATCGTTGCCGCCCCCCTCATTTCCCCTCCTCCGCCTTCCCCTGGTCCTCTTGCTCCTTCCACTCCAATTCCTGCTGCTGCGGTTCGTCCTCGTCCTCCTCCTTCCTCATTCTCATCCTCTTCCTCCTGCTCGTCTTCTTGCTCAACCGCCACCTCCTCCTCCTATTTACGCAACTCCCCTCTTCCAATGGCGAATGGCATGATGAATCTTTTTTGGAGTCCAGGTCGGCTATGACACGCGTCCGCGGATAGAAACACATGAGCGCAATCAAGGAGGGATATGATGTCAGACAGGACGCGAGCGCACCTAGCTCGTCCTCCCCCCCTTCCATCTCGTCGTCGTCGTCGTCGTCGAGCTTCTCGCCCTTTTCCCCTCCTCCACCTCCTTCTCCTCCTGCTGCTCGTCGTTGCCGTCGTCGTCATCCTCTTGATCCTCAACAAGCTCCTCCTCCTCCTCCTCCTCCTCCTCCTCCTCCTCCTTATCACCAAAGGCAGTTGCCCTGTTACTGACTCGCACCTAGCCCTCGCCAGGGGGGCCTTTTTGTAATTTATTTCCGCAGACTGTGCGTGCAGCAGGCTGCAGGTTAGGCCTGTGTTGTCTGCGTCCCCAACACTTCACCCTCCTTCTCCTCCCTCACCCTCTTCCCCTCTTCCCCTCCCCCTCCTCTCTCTTCTTTCCTCCTCTTCCTCCTCCTCCTCTTCCCCATACCCCCCCTCCCTCCCTCCTCCTTCCTTCCTTCCTTCCTCCTTCCTCCCTCCTCCTCCTCCTCCTCCACCTCCTCCTCCTCCTTCGCTGCCGTCGCCGCTGCTGCTGACGCTGTCCCTTGCCGCCGCCCCCGTTGCCGAGGTGTTGGTGATGGTGGTGGTGGTGGTGCTGGTGGTCGTCGCCGCCGCCGCCGCCGCCGCCGCCGCCGTCGTCGTCGTCGTCGTCGTCGTCTTCGTCGTCGTCGTCGTCGGCGACGAGGGCCGCAGCGGCGGCCTGGCGCCCACGCGCTTCAGGGCGCCGCCGCGGGCGCCGGCGCAGCGCTCCAAGGGCTCTGCTGACGGCAAGCCCGCCGGGGGCTCGGGCATCTGCGGCGGCTGGAAGGACCTGGCTCGCGAGCGCCCGCCGCCGCCGGGCGCGGCCGGGTGCCCCCCGCCGCGCCGACGGGCACAGCGCTGTACAAGGGCATTCTATCCTTACGACTTCTACTGCTTCTGCCACTGCCACTACGACTACTACGACTACTACGACTACTACGACTACTACTGCTACTGCTACTGCTACTGCTACTGCTACTGCTACTGCTACTGCTGCTACTACTACTACTACTACTACTACTAATAAAACTACTAATAACTAACTACTACTACTACTACTACTACTACTACTACTACTACTACTACTACTACTACTACTACTACTACTTGCGACTACTACTACTACTACTACTACTACTACTACTACGACTACGACTACGACTACGACTACGACTACGACTACGACTACGACTACGACTACGACTACTACTACTACTACTACGACTACTACGCTACTACTACGCTACTACTACTACTACTACTACTACTACTACTACTACTTCTACTACTACTACTACTACTACTACTACTACTACTACTACTACGACTACTACTCTTACTCTTACTCTTACTCTTACTCTTACTCTTACTCTTACTCTTACTCTTACTCTTACTCTTACTTATCTTACTCTTCTTACTCTTACTCTTACTCTTACTCTTACTCTTACTCTTACTACTACTACTACTACTACTACTACTACTACTACTACTACTACTACTACTATTACAGCAGCAACAACTACAACTACTACTATCCGCCGGCCCCCTTGTGGGGCCACCAGGCTGTAGGCGCGTGATTCGCAGTTTCCTGTACCAGTTGTAGTTTCTAGTTTCCAGTGTTCCAGTTCTGCTTCTTGCTGGTTGCTGTAACTAGTTGACTTCTTGCTGGTTGCTGTAACTAGTTGATTGACCGCGCGAGGGGGGGGGAGGCCCAAACAGGATTTTTTAGCCCCCCCTGGGCGCGTTGTCTGAATTGCTGGGGGGGCTCGAAATCGACACCCCTCACGCAGATCCGCGGGGTCAGGGTCCAAAAACACAGGGATTTGCCACATTTCTGAAATTCGGTGCCACCCCTCACGCAGATCCGCGGGGTCAGGGTCCAAAAACACAGGGATTTGCCACATTTCTGAAATTCGGTGCCACCCCTCACGCAGATCCGCGGGGTCAGGGTCCAAAAACACAGGGGATTTGCCACATTTCTGAAATTCGGTGCCACCCCTCACGCAGATCCGCGGGGTCAGGGTCCAAAAACACAGGGGATTTGCCACATTTCTGAAATTCGGTGCCACCCCTCACGCACCCCTCACAGGGGATTTGCCACATTTCTGAAATTCGGTGCCACCCCTCACGCAGATCCGCGGGGTCAGGGTCCAAAAACACACGGGATTTGTCACATTTCTGAAATTCGGTGCCACCCCTCACGCAGATCCGCGGGGTCAGGGTCCATAAACACAGGGGATTTGCCACATTTCTGAAATTCGGCGCCACCCCTTACGCAGATCCGCGGGGTCAGGGTCCAAAAACAAAAGGGACTAGAACCATCGCGCGCGCTTCGCGCGCGCTCAAGTTCTAGCTAGGCTTGATGGACGAACGCATGGAATATCATCCTTGTCGCTTCTTGCGTCCAGGGACTTTTTTGGAGGTCCTGCGCGAACCTCGGAATCGTATAGAAGGGGAACTGCGGCAACGAGGAAATCATAAGTTGCAGTCGGGTATTCAACGACTTCGGGCCCTCGAAGGCTTCCTGGGTTCTTGTCTGGGGCCTTAATTGTGGTCTGTTGTGCAAGAGTCGACAGGTGGGCGAACTTGGGAAACAACGGAATGGTGGGATTTCCCTTTTGTTTCAAGTTGTAGTGCCTGGGCTGTGGGTTAGACGTTTCCTGCATGCAGGCCACGGTCTGTTGGGATGCCCCTCGGGGTCTTCGTGCAAAAAAAGCAGGGGGTGAGGTTGAAACAAAATAATTCTAACATTCCACTGCTTCAACTCATGGGATCATGGGATCTCGATGTCTACAATGGTTTCAGGGGCAACCAAGACTTATTTTACCTAACAGCGTAGACTGATGGGTTTCTAGTTGACTCAAAAGAGCTCACAGATCACTCCACAAGGGGGGTCCGGGCAGGCGTTGGGAGTTGCCGGCCGGGCCTGTGCCGGGCTCGTTTTTCACCAACAGTCACACACTTCGTGCTCGTCGACCTCTCAGAACCCCATTCCCAGGCCACATTCTGAATAACCGGATGCAACAGTCACACACTTCGTGCTCTTCGAGTGCCCAGAACTCCATTCCCGGGCCACATTTTGAATGCCCGGAGCCAACTGTAGGCCACTTCGTGCTCTTCGAGTTCCCAGAACTCCATTCCCGGGCCACATTTTGAATGCCCGGAGCCAACTGTAGGCCACTTCGTGCTCTTCGAGTGCCCAGAACTCCATTCCCGGGCCACATTTTGAATGCCCGGAGCCAACTGTAGGCCACTTCGTGCTCTTCGAGTGCCCAGAACTCCATTCCCGGGCCACATTTTGAATGCCCGGAGCCAACTGTAGGCCACTTCGTGCTCTTCGATTTCCCAGAACTCCATTCCCGGGCCGCATTTTGATGCTGATGCAGAGGCTGAGAATGGTGATGCTGATGCTGAGGCTGAGGCAGGCAGGCTGAGGCTGATGAGGCTGAGGCAGGCTGAGGCTGAGGCCGAGGCTGAAGGCAGGCTGAGGCAGACGCTGAGGCAGGCTGAGGCTGAGGCAGGCTGAGGCTGAGGCTGAGGCTGAGGCAGGCTGAGGCTGAGGCTGAGGCTGAGGCTGAGGCTGAGGCTGAGGCAGGCTGAGGCTGAGGCGCTGAGGCAGGCTGATGCTGAGGCAGGCTGAGGCTGAGGCTGAGGCTGAGGCGGATGCAGGCTGATGCTGAGGCAGGCTGAGGCACAGAGGCTGAGGCTGAAGGCAGACTGAGGCTGATGCTGAAGCAGGCTGAGGCTGAGGCTGAGGCAGGCTGAGGCTGAGGCTGAGGCAGGCTGATACTGAGGCAGGCTGAGGCTGTGACTGCGACTGCCGCTGCCACTGCGACTGTCATCGCGAATGCGACTGCGACTGCGAGAACAGCAGAACTCTACAACTGGATTCTCATTTGAATCTTAAGGGGAATGCTTCCATATATGCTTCTACACATCGCTGTTAGGTTGCTTTGCCGGGATATTTTTTGCTGTAGGCGACTGCACAGCCGAACTTCCGCAGAGATTGACAGGCAAGCAAGAAGAAAAGGACCCACCCGCAAGCGCAGACTACTTCGAGCCTAATTAGCGCCGCGGGTGCCAGTCGTTCAGTCAGCGCCGAGCTCCACTCAGCAAGGCGAGCACATCTGGCATCAGCGACACCGCGGTAGAGGCTCCCTCCTCCCGCAGTCGCAACGCCGCGCTGGCTACAGGTGTTACAAGCCAGGGGACACGAAGACGATCCAAGAGAGTGTCAAGACAGCGTCAGAGAGTTCAACAGCATTCCCGAAACATTATTGCATGTGCCCCCGAAGTCTTGATGGGGCTCGAGAAAGAGGATAGGGAAAAGGAATCCCAACTGGAAAAAAACGGGAATCATTGGAATTCCTCCTTTTTCTCTCAAATTCCTCGGTCTTGGAGCGTTGGAAGCGGGAAAACGTGAGAAGGCGAAAAACGTAGACAAAACCCACAGGGAAGCAAAGATCCTCTTCGGGCTCTCTCAGGGAAGCAAAGATCCTCTTCGGGCTCTCTCGGGACGGCTCTCGAAGTTCTCTTGGGCTGTTTGGGGGGCCTCGTCGGGAATTTTTGGGGAGCCTCTCAAGGGTCTGGGGTGCGTTGGAGGCCTCTGGGGGGTCCCGGAGTCCTCTCAAAGGTCTCTGGAGGCCTCCTGCTCCCGCTCTTGGGCTCACCGTGGGCCTGTTCTGGGGTGGTCTGGAGCTGTCCTGGGCGCCTCTTCGGCAGTCTTGGGGCCGTCTTGGCCCGTCCTGGGGCCGTCTTGGGGGCCTCTTGGGCGGTCTCGGGGCGGTCTTGGGGGCCTCTTCGGCCGTCTTGGAGCGTTGGAAGCATGAGGTGGCGAGAAGGCCAAAAACCCAGAACAAAAACAATGAAAATTAACGATTTGAGGTTCTCCGGGCGCTCTCGGAAGGCCTCTCGGAGCTCTCTTGAGGTCTTTTGGGGTGCCTCTCGGAACGTCTTGGGCTGATTTTGGAAGCCTTTTGGCGCCTCTGGGCGGCGTTTTGGCGCCTCCTGGGATATGTTGGGCCGGAAGCTCGGAATTCGAGAGTGGCTTTCTCCTTCTGGGACCCCTCTCGAAGTCGTCTTGGGGTTCTCTTGGGCCGTCTTGGGGCCGTCCTGAGCCACTCGTGCGCAGCCTTGGAGCGCTCCCGGAGGCCTCCTAGGCCGTCTTGGAGGCCTCTTGGGCTGTCTTGGACGCGGTGAAAGCCCATGCCACCACCACCACTACTACTACTACTACTACTACTACTACTACTACTACTACTACTACTACTACTACTACTACTACTACTACTACTACTGCAACTACCACTACCACTACCACTACTACTACTACTACTACTACTACTACTACTACTACTACTACTACTACTACTACTACTACTACTACTACTACTACTACTACTACTACTACGACTACTACGACTACGACTCCTACTACTACTACTACACCTACTCCTGCAATAACTACTACGGCTACTACTGCTACTACTACTTCTACTACTGCGGGTACAGCTACGATTACGACTTCGACTGCGACTACGGTTGAGACTACTACTACTACGACGACTACTACTACTACTACAACCTCTACTACTAGACATCTATACATCTACTACTACGACTACTAGACATCTACTACTACTACTACGACGGCGACGGCGACTACTACTACTACGATTAGGACTACCATTGCTGCTACTACTACTACTACTACTACTACTACAACTACTACTACCACCATTACCACTACTACTACTACTACTACTACTACTACTACTACTACTACTACTA